ATGTGTGTCTAGGTGGGGGCACAGCCTGGTGTCATATGTTTTAGGGGGACACGTGTGTCTAGGTGGGGACGCAGGTTTGTGTCATACGTTTTAGGGGGATAGTGTGTCTAGGTGGGGGCACAACCTGGTGTCATATGTTTTAGGGGGACATGTGTGTCTAGGTGGGGGCACAGCCTGGTGTCATGTTTTAGGGGGACATGTGTGTCTCGGTGGGGGCACAGCCTGGTATCATATGTTTTAGGGGGACGTGTGTCTAGGTGGGGGCACAGCCTGGTGTCATGTTTTAGGGGGACATGTGTGTCTAGGTGGGGGCACAGCCTGGTGTCATGTTTTAGGGGGATAGTGTGTGCCCGGGCAGGGCACAACCTGGTGTCACACACTGTAGGGGGACGTGTGTCTAGGCAGGGGCACAGCCTGGTGTCACATATTAGGGGGACGTGAGGCCTCAGCACCTGTGAGGGGTCCATCGGTTCCATCCGGAAAGGGGACAGCCTGAAGCAGGAGGAGGGGTTTTCAGGTCCCAGGTAGAGAGGAGACACATGCTGCATGCTTTTGGATCTCTGATCAACCCTTCACTGAACACACAGTTTACATGTGAAGGGGCTAAGGAGTCAAGTGTGCCCTAGTCTGGCTCAGTGGCTGCATTTTTATGTAAACAGCCGGAGTTAGCTGCCAACATTGTCTCAGGTGAGCAGAGGCAGCACCCTGCGCTCTGGCCTGGCCCTGTGCCTGTGAAGGCCAGCAGTCATTTGTTTTGCCACCTTGAAACTCCATAGAACTGTGTTAGGGTAGAGGTTTTGAAGTCCACAGGGAATTTCCTCATGGGCGAATGCTGAGGGAGGCCGGTGGCCATTTATCTCGGCAGCTCTGATTTAGGACGAGGAGGGGAGGCAGGTTTGCCTGGCACGGTTCCCAGCCTGACTTCCCCTTGGTCAGTGATTTGGGGCCTGAGATTCAGGGACCGGGCCGGGCCTCCTGCCTCCCACTGCCCTGTGCTCAGAACACTAGGGCTGGAAGTAGGGGCCATTCCAGCTCCACACCTGTAACCCACCCAGGGCTGCAGAGGAAGGCCTCACACTGCTGGCCCCAGGGGAGCTGTGGGGGCTGCAGCTGGGCATAGCCAAGGGTGGGCGGAGTGAGAGGAGGGTGGGTCCGGGACTCTCACGGGCCTCTGGAGCCACCGATGCCTGGAAAGAGGACCGTGGCCAGGCCCCCATTTGCAAGGAGGCCCTGGTGAGAGCCTGGGTCCCTGCAGGGAGCCTCGGGCCTCCCCCACCGGCGAGGAACCTGCATGGCCAGTGTTTGGCAGGGACGCGGGCCTGGGGAGGGTGCTAGAGTCACCCCTCACACCTCCAACACCAGCCCAGAGCACGGGGCTGAGGGGCTGGCCCCCAGGTGCGAGCTGGCGCACCCCTCATCTCCTGCAGCCTCAGCGACTCTGCCTCCCCTTCGCAAGGGTGTACGCGGGGCCTCAGAAGTGAAACAGCCCAGTGGGGCTTGGGGTTTGTCTGTGCAAGCCCTAGGGATGGTTTTCAGAGGTAATGATATAAAAATACATGTTCTTCTCTGAGTTTAAAAATCCAAAGATGTGCTGTTTTGGGGGCCATGAGCAGTTAGGAGGCTGTACCCCATCTCCTCCCCATGGGGTTCTCTCAAGGCAAGCAAACTTCTCAAAAGAAGTTACATCAGGGCTGCTAAGCGGGAATTTAAGTAGGGACCAGAGCAGGTCTCAAAGAATGCTACCCGGTGCCACCACAGCGTGGACTTACAGGCCAGGGTCAGCGGGAGGGAGGGGCTGAGCCCCATCATTGCTGACCCTTCCCCCAACACCTGCTGGATTTGCCCAGCGATGGAAGGAGCCGCATTGTTGGCAGGGAGGTCCGGCTTCTGCATGTCTGCTTGTCCTGTCCGGCAGCAAAGACTCCCAGACG